GTATTCCTATAAGTTAAAATTTTGTAAAAATAATATTTCATAAATTCTTTGATGTAGATCTTTTAAAAATAATGTTTTATGACTTTATCGCGTCGTACATATTTATCATTAGGTGGAGGGTGGGGAGGGGGGGGCTAGAACCCCACCTTACCACCGTGCCAGCAAGTAGATAACCTAATACGACCAACCTAAATGAAATAATTTACATTTTAATTTCAAAATTGTACATATATTTATGTAGTGACAGTGTATAYCTGTCATATACCTACCAGATATTCAGATGTGGCTGATAATTTATTTTTAAAGGAGTTATTCTAATTCCCCATATTGTGTGATTATAGGTGGACTGCGGTATACCTATATTACCAGTTACCACATAAAGAGCGTAATACGTATTTCCTACCTCTTATTTATTTCGTTTCTTTTTGATTTAAAATAGGGATATTATAATGTAATCCAACAACATTGAAAACGAAAATAAAATTGTATTTGGAAGAAGATCCACGCACTTACTTTTTATTGTATACCTACCTATAGGTATGCACGTACGTAATATGATGGGGAGCTTAAAATCATCTCGTTTTTCATTCGAGTGTCCTGAGAATAATCAAAAAATAGAACAATATAATGAAACCAAAAATAAAATACAAATAAAAACGTATACCTAGTTACGTTAAACTCGTTATGCCGCACTAATAATGTTCAACTACGACGCGCCCATGCCGCCGTTTTTCTCGATTTTCGCGTACAATCGCGTCACGTACGTCGCATGTATTATGACCAAATCATAAACTTATTCCTCTGGCATTTGGCCAAACTCTATTTATCTCAATATTCGAACGTTGTAATCATACGCACACTATTAAAGTGTATAATATCACTAACCCAAGTCCCAAATATATGTCTACATTGTTCCGCAAGATAGAAAATTGTGTTTTTATCATACCGTATTCCGTTATACATGCCAAAACCCGGCTTAATCTAAAATACGATTTTCCTGATGTTTACTCCGGAGCGAAGCAAAAACTTATTCTCTTTGTAACTTTTTTCATCACATTATCACGCGGTTTAATGGCCAATGTCTATGATAAATTAGTARACATGCAATTTGCTGAACGGAGTTGTTTTCGTCTTACAAATGCGTGACATAACAAATTTTACGCTCAGCAGTTACAATTTAGCTCCATTAGTTAAAAAATTTTAGTGAATTAACCTCTTATAAAAATTAAAGGAAACATTATTACCTAGGTTATCACAGAGGCTTTTTATTATATTTTAATTTTAAAGCGAGTTATAAGTATTTTTAAAATTGTGAATTGTGCATATGTCTAAATATCTAAATTATAACGATGATTGTATATTATACGTTACAATCATAGGCCTTATACTATAAGTATAATAATATATATTATACTATGAATATATTAAGGTCTGTGGTTACAATGCGCATAATGTCACCATTACTGCCTAATTATACTACAAWCATTTTATACCCTTTTTCCCATCAAATATCAAAATRCACACAAGGAACACAAAATCGCTGACATTCTCTCAAGTTATATAAAAAAATTAAACTCACTAATTTGCCCCCTTATCTGCCTTTTCTAACCAGTCTTAAATGCATTTACAGCTAATAGCAGTATTCCATAACCTATTATCAACCAAACACTACTTATTAAAATTCACACATAAGAACAATAATACAGTAATCCCTCGTTATCCGCGGAGGTTAGGTTCGAGGAAAGTTGCGCGGATATCGAAACCGCGGATAACGAGACCATAAAGCAATGTAAAACGGGAAGTTAGGTTTTATTTACATACAATTTTTAATTTTTATTAGACATTTTTATTTATTTTTTTAATATAATTTATTAATTATTTATACATACATTAGGAAGGATGAAAAAAATTTGTTTATATTTATAGTCGAGGGCTGAACTTCATCCAGTGATTCTTTGATATTAAGTAATTATAGTAATATTTACATACAACCGTACACGCGTCACGCGTCACGCACTAATATCAACCAACAACTGAACAATTTTAAGATATAACAAATTAACCGTACATATTTATAAGGTATGTACATTATGTAGCTTATCTGTTATAAGTATGGGTATAATAAAGATAAAATTTCATCGTATGTATAAATAAAATGTTATCACCGACCCAACCGTGGATAATCGAAACGATAACGAGGGATTACTGTACGTATAGTTATCAT